GTACCACCCTTCGGCCGAGCGTACGCAGTGGGGCCACTAAAGGTGAGCGTTCGCCTCGGGCGCGAGGTGTCGTCAGCGAAGTCCGGCGAGGCCTGAGCGACGGGAGTCGACGGACGGAAAAGATTGCGTGGCTCACCGTATGCCGTCCCAAAGAGTATCTGCCCGCTCCCGATACAGCATGTGAAAACCTCTCGGGAGACTCCGCGCACGGTGCCACAGTCAACATTCGCTACCGGGTGAGGGGTTAAACATCACTACGCTTTCTCAGCATGGCAGACAGCGGAGGGGGGAGACATGTCGGGACATGAGAACGACAGAAAAGGTGGCAAAGCCCGCGCAAAGGCAGCGGGCTAGGCTCGATTCCCACAAGGTGCACTCAAATTTGGTCTTGAAGAGGTTGAATGCGGCAAAATTCACGAGAAATTTCTGCTCCTCATTGCCTATTCATGCGAAAAACTATGCAACGAGCACCATCGGCCACGACCATTTTTGCCCCTGTGGCAGCGGAGAACCTTTGTGGGAGCTGCACTTAAGCATATGAACCACATGATTTGAGGCGCCTTCTGCAGTTTCTCCAATTACCAAGTGGCTAATGTAGTTTTTTTAATTAGATTGCCGGTGCAACGTCGGTATTCCCGGTGTATGCAGCAAAACCCACACAAGCATGAGTGACTTCCTTGCAAGGAATGATGAATCATGCACCTGGTGATGGTCATGAATAATGAGCCCACACGTTTCACTCAATGTCATATTTCGACGCTTGAGCTCACTGCTCATGCTTTGCGTGACATCTCCATTGCCTGGGGCAAGTTTAACCAAAGAACTTCATTCTTTATCTCCCGTGATACGCATCACGATGGTCTATTGGCTATGGTGCTTGACTGCTGATTGAGGGTCGCGACGTCGAATCCCAGCCGCGACGGTCGCATATTCATAAAGGAAAAATGCTACAGAGGCCTCTGTTGTTAGATAAGGTGAAGGTTAAAGAACCATCAGTGGTCGTGATTTCTGGAACCCTCCACCTTTTTCATAATCATGTCGTGGGTGTAGAACCCCGACTAATATTGCTGTCTATCACTTCCATGTGCTATCACAAACTGCTGCAACAACATTGCCTTATAAACGTACTAGTGGGCATTAAAAAATATATCCACCACCAAACTGAATTCGATGCATGAACTGAATATTTACAGGGGAGGCAAAAAAGGCTGTGAACAATGATCATAAAATTTTTCCAGGAAAGCACAAAATATTATCCTTGACGCTGTTTTGCTTCATGTGTAAAATGCTTCAGAGCTGGTAGTAACTGGTCCTGTATACCACCTCGCATCGGAAGGTCACTTTCCAAAAGCAACGCACTGGTGATATGCAGCTTGCAGAATCGAGTACTGTTTTCATCTTGTTTTCAAGTTAAAGTGCCTCGATTGCTTAAGGAAGCACCTAAATATCTCTAGTTTTATGTTCTTCAAAACAAGCTGTTTGATCAATAACCACTGGTTGTACAAAACGGAATTGTAGTAAGTCGAATGTGAAACTGCAAATTTACATTGAACTTCTTGCAGGAATGGCTATATCTGGCTACAAATATTTTTGCCCTTTTTTTGTTTGGCTACATTTGGGCTGCATCTTCTTTGTTGTTTGGCTATGCCACCTCATATGGCCTGGCAACACTGTTAGCATGTACAGTTGTCTCCCGTAGTGGGTCCATGGGAATGACACCAGAGGTTGTCTCTCGTGGGCCTCTCGTGGTGTTGGCAATGCCCCCATCGAATTACCTTGTGTTTCTTGGATTGAGTGTATTGGAATATTGTATAAGGTTGTGTGCTAGCGTGTCACTATAGTGACATATTTGATTCCGCTGGCAGTATCATCAATGTGTAAGTAGTTCAATAAATGTTTTTTTTTGGTTTGGTTTGACCGTGTCTGCTGTGTCTGTGTGTTCTGAGAGCTTGAGTCAATACGAGATCTGACACTGGCACCCAACGCAGGGATCTTTTAGAGCATTGGATGGCAGTTTTTGCTGTTCAGAACCATCGTTTTGAGCCAGGGTAGAGTAAGCCTAAGGGGACTTAAATAGCTAGTGTCGGTGGCATGCTTTGTTCAGATCGAGGTGTGGTGTGTTTGAACATGTTGGCACGTTGAGTTTTTCTGCTCTTAATTGGTTTTCTTTGTTGTTGTTTTAAGAATGTTGTTGAGTTGGTACGAAACACATATGGTCTGCATCCTGAATAAAGCAAGACATAGAGCACATGGATTGTAGGCTAAGTTTGAAGTGAGTGATGAGAGCCTCTTTGGTGGTCAGAGTTTTCTGTAAATAGCTTCTATCTCATTGACTCGGGGAATCTGGCGTCGTTGCTGCCTTGTTTTGCGGCTCTATTCCGAGGCATCGTGAGACCGTCCAGGACGGTGTGTGCCAATCATTCGGTATGCTGTTGTGTGCGGCGAGCGAGTAGGCCCACCTTAAAGAGGTGATGTCTATTTGCAGCCGTGTTTTCTGCATCTATGTTGGGTGCTGGATAGATGCCGGTTGTTGTCAATGGACTCGTTAGGCCTAAGGCTCTGCGGAGCCCCCTGTCGCACGTGGCACAACTAGTTGGATTATGTCGTTGAAGTGTTCCACTCTGCTTCCCTCATTTTATCTTGTGGTCCACGAGTTAGAAAAGCGACCCTTCTTTATTTGAACTGGGCGTCTCAGCTACCACCGATGAATTTCCTAGCAGTACTGACCATCGTACGACTTGGGCATTGTGTCCGAAGCTCCTTTCTCTTTGCCCACTGCATCGTTCAGTCGAGTGTTTTGAGTGTAAGTAGTGGAAGTGATGTCTTCTGCACATTGTTTTTGTCACTGGCCAGGAATGTAGTCGAGACATCGAGCAGTAAATATGCCTGGGACCGGTGCAACTGCCTGCAGTCCAGTGCCGTCATGAGGGCTGGTCGCAATCAGAAGATGAGTCGGTGACGCTTTCTCACGGCAACGGCTACGTTGCCGTTATGAGACCGGTACTGAGGTGAAGTCGTCGAGCTGAACAGTGTAGTGGTGTTGACCAGCAGCGGTGTTGTGGCGCACAGACATTCTTTAGGAACATCTTTTGTTGAGCTTGTGTAGCTGATTTTTTACATTTTTTTAGGTTTGTTTTTTTTTGGGGGGGGGGGGGGGTATGATTTGAATTAAGGTTAGGGAAATGTGGGGGGTGCCACTACCACCTGTAATGTCATTTGTGCCCCGTGGTGCACACATGTCTCATGGATAGGTCGTATTTAGGTTTAACAATCACAGTGCATTAGGTGGCACAGCGTGTGCATGAGTTCATCATCATGGCAACCATGGTTAGCGCGGTAGCGCTACCAGAGCTGCCTGGCTGCAAGGCTAGGTGCCCGCACAGAAAACATTCGTGACTCTCTTTGGCATGTGGCAACTGGCGCGATTGGTCGTCTTTTATGGTGGGTCCATGGGGACATTACCGCAGGTCGTCTTCTCCTGTGAGCCTCTCGTGGCGAGTCAACTTTGCCGCCTTCGGGTTACCTTATGATTGTTGTTATGTTGATTGAGTGTCTTGGAATATTGTATAAGGGTGTGTTCTAGCATGTCACTAGTGACGTATTTGATTCGGCTGGCGATATTGTCAATTTAAAAGTAGTTCAATAAATGGTTTTGTTTGGTTTCATCGTGTCTACTTGCTCTGTGGGTTCCGAGAGCTTAAGTCGTTATGAGATCTGACAATGTTCATTAAATTTGCATCAAAAAACCTTAGGGGTTCTGTTACATTGCATTTGCAATTTTTAAATGTTGAAACTATATAGGGCTTACATTAATTTTAAGTTTACCTAGAGTTATGCCAGATGGTTTAGTGGTAATTAAAGGGGTACTGATACCTTTTTTCAGAGGCGAGTTTACTATGCCAGACAAATCTGCTGTATTCAGAGACGGCTCTGGGCTAGTGTGATGCTTAGGAAATGCTGGTAAGATAGTTTATTTTGATATTAAAGTGAATTTTCTCATGGCCCACCTACCGACATTGACACTAACTTGATGTCGGGCTACAGCACTAATCCTGGTGACTTCACGCAGCAGTCTGGCTAGTTGTGATGACATCAAGCACCAAAACTAAAAAAAATGGCAGCCTGGGCATCGCCTTCTAGATAGTCTGCTCACGCCATGCGGTACTGTCATCCAGCGTACCTGTGAACCGAGTTAGCAGAGTCTGGAATAGCGCATGCGAATGCAAGATATACGTTTATGGAAAGGCAAAGGAGTCGTTTGATTTTGAATCTGTCGTCATAACGCCAATATTTTGCTCTGTGGTGTTTTGTGCCAGTGAAACGGGGGGGGGGGGCAGTAGGGGCAAGTTTCATCGATTCCCACCCAATCCGGCACTGAGACAAACGTGGGTAGGTTGACTGCAGGCACCAGGGTGGAGACTCGACTCAAACTAAGCGGAGTTTACTCTGTTCGCTCCACTTTACCCCGGGTGCATGCACGTGTAGGAGGCAGTTGCTGACCGACTTTGGATTGTCGATGAAAAACCTGCCCCCCCGCCCCCCCTGCCGGGACAGTTTTCACAATTGCAGTGCGCAGCAAATGATTGAAGAAGCGACATGCGGACGAGGATATATCATGAAAACTTGCACGTGCACCTGGTGGCGCTGCTCATATACCATGTCGTGACTTCAGGGTACAGTAGGAACTGAAGCTATCTTTTAAAAGAATGCTGCAATTGATTTTGCAGGGTTCAGTCACCTTTACCGGTACATTTCCTATGCTCTATGGGGGCATATTAGTTGACGAAAAAAAAACAATAAATGAAAAAGTTCGTGTCAGTACCCCTTTAGCTAGCAGTGAGAGTTCACTTGAACTTAAGGTGGCTATACTGATGACTATTGCACCTGGGTTCAATACAGGACTCTTCGTGTGGCAACTTTCCACTGGTATCTTTCCAATTATTGTCTTTTCAGCTTTCTCAGTGATGTGTTGTCACTTACCGCTTGCATATAACTTGCAGACTGCACCAGCAGACAAAGTCATCTACCCACTGGTTGGTCATCAGAAGATGGCTATCATGCGAAACATTGAAAAAATGCTTATTGAAGCACTCAAGGATGTCAATGAGGTTAGTATCTGAAAAACTCGGAACCTTGTCGTAGTGACTTATGCTTTAATGTGACCAGACACCTCGGGCACTAATTCTAGGCATAGTAGACAGGCAGGAATGAAAATCAACATTTAACTCATTGTGTCTCGGACAATTCTTTTACAAGCTACTATAACTAAATCTGCATTTACATTTCAGAGCTATTTCATGTGCTTCCAACACTGCTCAAGTAAGAAGAAAGATGAAATAGATGGAGTTTGGTTAGTGCATGTTGGTATGAATGTAGCTTGTTAGCCAGCTCATTGGATAGTCCTTTGAAGCTGAATTGAGAAAGCTTAGTCATATTTGTTGCTCATTCTAGAAGGTGTGTCTTTTCGTTCAAGGGGTGGCGCCATAGAATTTCGGGGCTGTGACAAGCCTCTTGTAGGTTTTCTTTGTATGCAAGAACACTCTGCTCGAACGGTTGGACACAGAAAATGTTTAGAATGTATTTTAATTTACTTCCAAAGTGTATCTAAATGCTCATTCTCCCAATGGAGGTCCATCGCGAGCGCGTCGAACACTAATGTAGCTCTATAGGAAGGGCAGCAAAAGTTGTACTCACATCACACGAGATCTGTGGCGAGGTAAGTGACTCTGCCATGTACGTACTGGCAAAGTATACCGGCTGCTACAGCTAGCAGCGTGCTTTTTTGCACGCTGCGAAAGCAGACAATACTCTGAACGACGCGCTTCAAAGCTTTGTGTGGTCATGTGGCTAGGCCACCTACACTTCTAAGTCACTGACCAACTTGTACTTTCTAAGTCACTGACCAACTCGTACTTAATGTACTTTCTCGATGAAAGTGTCGTACCTTTATTGCCATTTGCTCTTACTCACTACTAATACTAAGCATATATGTGGTGACTTCGTGCCGAAATGATGGTGACCGCGTGCTAAAATTCTAACTTTCTTTGCTGTGCACGACGCTCAAGACTTTACCGAGCTGTTCGTACAGTGTGCTTTCCACAATAGTATGTGTTTTCTCACCAAGCTTGAGGAGGTGGTTTATGACCCCTTTAATGAAAGGAGTTGCTTCTTTTGTGCACTCCCTCTAGTGAAATATGCCACTGCAGTTCAACTATGAACATAAATACTCTTGAGAAAAAAAAAAGGTTCAAACTATGATAAAGCTTTGTTAAGTCAAACAAAAGTAAAATATTTGTTGGCCCACTATGTTCCTAATGTATCTTAACACTGCTTAATTTAAACTGTTTTACTGTGTAAATTCGGCTAATTCATAATTTTTACTTGCGTGTCCCTGAAAATATCTGCATACTTTGTCAGTTCCTGCTGAACATTCACATTTTTATGTCGCTAACAGTCACAAATAAGGCTTATTGTCTAGCTGCAAAGTGACCAAATTAATCAAAGCACTCGCTCAAACAATAACATGTCCTAAAAACCGGGGTGGGACATCTGCGCATATTGTGCATTTCTGATACATTTCCGTTTTCTTGCACCAAGCTGCTCCAAATATATAAAAATCATGGAAATTGCACCGAACTGCTCCAAAACTGCCTAGAAAGCTAGAATTTTGATGCCAACCTCAGCTTCAGTGAGGAAAAAAGGCCAAGTTCACGAATAAGACGCACCCAATTATTTTTTTTTTACCTTGCACCTTTCTGGAGACGATTTCTCCCATGCATGGTGCCGCCATAATCTCCTCTAAACTGTTGTAAATATGCGTGACCCCGCAAAGACGTGCTGCCATGCATCAAGCGTGCTGCTTTTACTCGCTAGGCTGTGTGTTCTGGTGCCTCTGTCGCCTAGCGAAAACCACAGTCGAGTGGCGAGTGTAGTAGAGTTGACTCTCAGGTTATTTGTTGTGCATAGCGTGTTCCTCCTGTCGCTGCAGTTTTTATCTCGATACTGCTGCGTGCGGTCACCTACGCATGCACAAATTCCGTGATCGAGTAACTCTAAACGTGGAGTCATTTTCCTGCATGCGGCGCATCTCCTGGATGCCCTGGCGCGCGCACGTGGGACCTATTTTCGTGAGCAACAGAATGCGTGCAATCCATTCCCCATTTACGTCCATTAGCTACTAATTTATTTAGACAAGCGAGTTCTCATTGCATTTAAAAAGCCATCGTACGTGAAATCTGCAGATCATTGCCCGCAGGTAGAAAGACTTGGTTATTTGCGAAGCCTTTGGTGACAGAACGTGCATTCAATCCATTTTAAACTACATTAACGGGCACATCAGCGCTTTATTCGTGACTCGTTAAATTTCGGCGATCACGTGGCACGTGGCTGGTGATTTGCCACTGCTCCGTTTTGTAATTATGGGCAGACTAGCCCAACTTTCAGTCTTGCTTCCATTTTGTAATCCAAACTTGCAACAAGTGCTTTAAGAGGCGTTGCTGTGTGCCGGCTCTGGGCTACATGAGCTTTTAGGCTTACCTTTATGTTTGATCGGTGTTTCAGTTGACGGCCTTTCTGCAGTGTGAGTTCGTTTTCTTTCTTTGCAATAAAATCGGCCTCTATGGTCGGCGGTTCGTTTGCGTGGACACAAATTTCTTACCTGCACTGCGCTGTGCGAGCGCTTTACGCGAGTTGCGGCACGAGCGGCAATCGCAAGTCGTCTATGTATTATGGGGAATTCCACATTGACGGTGATGACCTATGATATTAAAAAAAGTAGAACTGGCCAACGTGTGCCATATTAATTACACATGGTTGCTCATGTGGAGAGGCATTATCAGTAGTATTTGCTTATCACTTAGGTCCATACGCACGCGCTTTACGAGATAGTTGGTGCGGCGCGAGGTTTCTTGGCTCCCGTGCTGCACTCTTGAAGGGGGTCCAGCACAAGATGGCCGCGAATGGCGGTGTAACGTACTTTTGTTGTCTGTTGGAAGCTCTTGACGCTATCATGTCAGGTTTTTTTAGCGAAGGACCACTGTTACATAACTAAAATTCTTGTAGACAATTTTTGAATTTCTTTTTGAGTGTGATGCGTTTTTCATTCTAAAATGTTTTAGAGGAATCTAGTTTTCAACAAAATCTTTTTTGTTTTTGAAATACTATTTCACATGTTAGTTACAAGGGCTAGATAGGTCACCTGGTATATGAAAAGGTAGTGATAATCTGTTTAAAAACTTCCTTCAAAATCTGTTTCAGTGTTATGTGAATTATAAGCCAATAATTAACTCTTTCATTGCCACGCAAATTAAATCGATCACCAGAGATCGACGCTTTTGGATCGTCGATATTGGCATGTTAGATTTGTTTTTCGTGTGCCCAGCATTTTCTAGTAGTTAGTCCAGCCACCAAACTTTCAGAATCAGTTTGAATTTGCCCATTTTGCCAACATAGTAATTTTTGACAGATCTTTGAGTGAAGCAATATGCGTGTATTGTTGGAAAAATGCAGTAGGCTGGCGAACTTTACAGATGTTCATGCCCTTTCTGATTATGCTACAGTAACATCGAAGTTCTGTAATAAAAAGAAACTTTTCGAGCCAAATATTCAATTAAAGTGTCAGGTTTGAAATTTCACAATGCTGAGCAGTAATTATTGCCAAAAGTTTATCCCAGCTTTTCAATAGAGAGCTGTTCCTAGGAGTCAGGTAAGATTTGTTCTACAAAATACATTTACGAAGGTCCTCCGCGTGTTTAACTGTCAAGGCAGCCTTCTCTGACAGTTTCCAGCAGCTTTAGTTTTGCTTGCGTCGTTATATCATACACAGGGTATCATCTAGGTCCACTAGTCACTCTTATGACGACTTCTTCACGCGTGCATGGGTACGCACCACCGCTGCAAAACACATGCACTGCTCGAAACTGTCTTGCAACCCCACCTGAATTAAGTGAGGGTGAGCTTAGAGTTCGAGGATAGCAGTACCTCAGCTTCATACTTTATGGCGACGATGTGTCGCATTAGCCTGAGACATCCGCAGTCGTTCATGAGTTTGTTTTGTTTAAATCCTCAAGTTGTCTCATTCACCGCAAGTATGTATAGCTTCTGACCTTTGTGCACATTCTTAAAGGAGCACTGACATCAAATTTACTCATGCCAAGATTTTTGCGTCAGTGAGTAGCCATAGACTTCGTAGCGGCGATTCGCGACTTAAAACGTAACGGAGGGATGAATAACTATCACTTTTATTGATTTATATTGCTGGTATCTAGCACTATTCAAAACGGCCGGCGATCCCACAATTTTTAGCGCTGGGAGCACCAGTACTGGCGTTACCTCGCGGTCACCTCCAGATCACGCCACAGCTGACTACTTCTCCACAGAAAAGAGTGACGTCAAGCTCAACTGCTTCGCAAACATTTCGTCTGCTAGACAGACACATTCAGTCATGCCTTGTCACCTGCATTGCTGTCGTCGCCGTACAAAGTGTTGACTCGGGTTTAATACGATAGCCTGGAACTTGGAATCCCCGCGATTCGCGACGTCGCGAATTATTTTTGCTTCGATCGACCTTTTGCAGAACAGTGATTCCGAAATGGACGCCGTTCCAAGCAGCACTGCAGTGCCCGAGGATGCATGCTTCAGCCATGTTCACTCATGTGTCTCAGTTTGCTATATAGGTGTGTTTTGGCGTGCAAAGCATCCAGGTATACGTAAAGGGGTCAATGCAGTATAGCTATCGCGAATGAGCCTCAGCGGAGAAATAGAATACGTTTCCTGCTTACCAGGTTCTTTTTTGCGCCTCCAGATGGCCCCATCTATCCAGCCTCTCGCGGTTAACATGGTATTACCACTTTTACGTGGACGCAGTCTACAGATGAACTGAAATTCAACGATGCCTACATGTTTCTTGTTAGCGATGATATCTTAATATACGCTGTTCCACTTTTGATGGCTTGTGATCGTGTTGATGTGTAACACATATGTGATATGAAAAGACACCCTCATTGCACTTTTTCCGTGCTGTCAACAAGACGACTGCAACTCACCTGCAACTCACAATGATTCCCTGACATGCTGACCGACAAGCGAACGTCTAATCATGCTCTTTTCTTTCGTCGTTCTTCTAAGGGGGGTTTTTATCTTGATAATTTTACGAAACCGTTCAAACCAATGCAACGAAGATCAGACATGACGAGCGAGTGCGTTTCTGCGCTTCGGCGCCAGGGTAAAAACACTCAGATCGTACACATCATCGCTAATAGGGCATCGTCACTCAGGATGGTATTTGTGGAATGTATCACACCGAACATGTAGCACTAGTGTCGATGTCGCAGGGCAGTCTATTTTCTGTTTTTTCTCTTTAGCTTTTCAACGCTGTTTGACATCGAAATTGCTAACATCGACGTTGCTAAAAATTTGTATTTTCAAGCTCCCAGGACAACATAAATGCCGGCTAACTGCTTCGAAGCAAGGTTCTCCTGCTCCAAAATTGAAACTTTGCTGCTCCAAAAACTGCTCCCAACTTAATCTCAGCTGTGTCACCCCTGTAAAAATAATAAAAAGGAGACGGTCTTGCCTTTTCTATTTTCTTCTGGATGTGTCCTAAGTCACTTTTGCCTCTGTACATTGGTGTCATGTAGAAAAATGTACTAAAGTTGGGAAGGGGCTTCAGCAGTCTTAGGACACAGCACATTCTGTCCTTTAATTACACGTGCGTGTATGTGCTGCATAATAATGAGTGTCACTATAATCACTGATATCCAAAAAGATTTAATGGTAATCATGCAGAGCTGTCAATAACATTGCTGCAACTCTGAGAAATAACATTGCAACGATCATTGGTATGTTGCCTCCAGTCATTTATGAGACCATTTGGTCATTCGCAGTTCTGTGGTGCAATTTTATACGCGTTCCAAATCTCAATGGAGTCGTTCCATTCGTTATGTCAAAAAGTGGGTGGTCTGCATTGATCGCAAGGACGAGGGGAAGCAAACATTCAGTGTAGGAAATAGAGGCCTGCGTCACAATTTGGACGTCGGCTTGAGGACCAATTGAACGCAATTGAAACGTGACGCGTCCAGCGTCTCTGTGGGACATGCCCAATGTCTGTGACGGATGCACTCAGTGTCTTTGCAAGGGACGCCAGCACACTCGTAACACCACAAAGTGAATGATGATGAGTGGGGCGAATCTTGAAAGGGTTTCATTCGTAAACCGTAAATCCTCCGTCTGTCTGTCTACGACAAACAGATATGACATGATAGATATGACAGCTAATATGACATGAAGATTGTGGAAACAGATGTGCGTTACTTAGCTCTAAAATGTGCAGTGTCAATTTGTGACTGATGTATTGTAATGCAAGAATTTAGCGCAAAGTAATCTTATATTTTCGTTTCATTTCCAGCATGTTATATCGCCATAAATTTGTCTCGAACCCTTACTTGAGAGCCAGCGTTACCTTTAGCAGTCAGATTTGCGGCAACATTGCACGGTTACTCACGAGCAGTTGTTCATAGCAGTCTTACTAAAAAGAATTGGCCCTGTGTCTGCATGTTTCACTGCAAATTTTGTACGACAGTCTTGTGTCTGGAGAGAGTGAACAAAACGTTTATTTGATGTTCTGTGCGAGAAAATCAGTGAATTGTATTTTTGAGGTGCTGCGTTAGAGAGTCTCCATCCGTGCAGCGAAGACGAACGAGCGTATTGAGGCGTGTTAGACACGAGCGCTATCTGGCAATTATCTTCGAAAACGAAGGAAGGCGTGCGTGCTTGTCTCGGACCCGATAAGGTGTAGAACTCAAAGTGACGGGCAGGTGCCACCATAGTGTCATCTTAGCAAAGCATTGCAAACACTTGCCTTTTTGAGCATCGTGTTGCATTTACGGTCCTTAGAATTACTTATGTATGCCTTCTCTAGATTAAAGACACATGCACAAAATATTGACGTGTTGATATGGTGCCTCAGATATGTGCAATAATTGCTTTTTAATTGACAATCGCACAAGTATGAACGCTGAAACTTGAGCAATATTGGTAAGCGCTGCGGATAGGGTTGGTCGTTTGGGGTATCGTTTTGTAGCGTGCTCGCCCCACGGAGGCGCAAAAAGAAGGAACCTACACTCCTTGAAGTTTGGGACAAGACTAGTTTATTTTCCAAGAAAAACAGGCTTTGAAAGCGACAACCAAAAAGGGCGTGGCTGCGTATCTTCGCGGCCCTCCGGAGATAACGTGAGGCATGTTGGCCGCGTCTGCGCCGTGCGCCTCGGCATACGAATTGGTATGCGCACAGAAATAAAATTATCGCGATCACCGGCGTCATCGGGGCGAGTACGCTACAGTTTAAAGCCATTAGGGGTATCGTTACGGCGGACAAACAGACAAGTGTACAGACAGGCAGACCAAAATGTTTGCGTCGAAGTACCACAAGAAAGACTATCGTCTTTAAAAAATGCCCAGTCTCTCAATTCATGAGTACTGTACATGCGCAGATGCATACACACACAGGTTGAGAGTGTGGGATTTATGGAGTGAGATGACATTGGTAGACTTTTTGTAGTACTCAGCACAAATATATATTATGTGATTACTTCCTTCATGTGATAAAGTGGCTAAGCAAACTCCGTTGCTTCATTCATGCACAATGGCTGTGCGTTGTATTTTGCTTAGTGTGTGTGAAGTGCTATGTGTTTTTGGTTTGCTTAGAATTAGTTATATTACAGTTATTTATTATTTTATTATTTTTGAAGACACTTTAAAAAAAAACCTTAGAAGGGCATCCGCATAGTGCTTTACCTAGCACTGGCAACCAAACCTACAGAAAGCATACCTTGGTCCTCGTAGGTTTTTCTGATAAGGATATCTCGTATCTCTTGTACTACATCTGCGGGGCACTAGGTGGTGCTCTGTTCTCCTCACTCCAATAATGAGAAGTTCATTTTTCTCACTAAATTGTCTCAAATGAGAAATAGAAAACAGTCTCAACCGAGGGCTAGTGACCGACAGCACTTCAGTATCCCTACGTTGAAGACGTGTGAAAAGAGGAAGCTGCTTGGGGGCTGGTAAACAGTGGCAGACATATAAGGGTATTGCTGCTTTCAAGATTGGTAGGCATTTTTATTGGCTCCAGCTTTCATTTGATACATACTTCTAAACGCTCCTGAATTTCCTGTAAAGTTTGTGAGTTCTTGCAGAAGAATCTTCCTCTATGTTTTATTAAAAATTGTGCTCCTTGTACCTCTTAGTGGAAGGACATCGAAGCAGTACTCACTAACCATACCCTTAAAATTCTTGTCATTGTGAAAAGGCTCCAAAGGAGTACCGCTTCAAGCATACTTGTTCAGACAAGTCAGGCAAAATTGGCAACAGTTAGTGAAGAAGCCATAATTCTTGTCCATCATGACCACATGATGTATCCCTCACATGCTCTGTCACCAAACTAAATTCCATTTTCTGAGTAGCACAGTTATTACAGGTTGGCTGGCATTTGTTCAGCTGTTGCAAAGCTGGTAGCAAATTTATATTTTTGGCACACGCTTTATGAATCCAAAATTTTTGGAGCAGTAAAAATGTATGTACGAGGTTAGATGTCTGTCGTATCACTAAAATAATGTCTGTTATTTGACAAGTTTTTTTTAGCACCTACAAGCATTATTAAAAAAGCATGTGATAATCATATTTTCTTTATTTTTCAGGTTGGCCCATTATTAAGAGCTATGGTGCTTGGAAGATATACATGAGTTTGTTTTGGAGTCCACTCATTGTTTTTTGCAAGTGTAAATGGCCGCTTTTGCATGCTTTTAAAGCAATGGTCTTGTCATGCAGATGTTTTTCTGCAGACTTCAGTAGGTGTTAGATTAACTTATTTACTCTGCAGTCTTTTGCTGCAGTGAGGTGACATATTTTTTTTATTAGGCAAAGGTCAATAAATTTCTTCACATTTTATTGTGTTGTCTATGTTTTAAAGTAGTGCGAGCCAGTCCTGTCCCAGTTGCAAAAAATATTCATAAATTAACCCTAAGGAAATCAGACTGTCGTCGCTAGTTCTACGATTCCAGTTGCTTTCCGCTAGTATATCCATGTTTAGGGTCATTTTAATGAAATATTAGTGTGTTTTTGAGCCTATATTTTTAAAATGGTAGTCTCTTCACTTACGTATTGCATGAGCAGCCTCTATTTCATGATCAAAAGTGGATAATAATAAAGTTTAACCAGTATGTAAGTTTAAATAATTCCCAATTAGCCATCATCTAAATATTGTGCATGTGTAGTGTCTGCATTTTGAGGTTATCGCATGCACAGGCAGCTTGTGCCACTGTGCATACAACATTCAGAAAATATGTTGAAAGATGCACAACAAAGCCCAGTATAGGTATTTCCATTGGTTGTGGAATACAAGGTGGTGTAGTTTGCCGACCCAAAGGTCGCAGGTTCGATCCCAATTGTGGCGGTCACATTTCGATGGAGGTGGAATTACAGAGGCTTGTGTGCCATGCAATGTCAATGCATGTCAAAGAACACCGGAGGGTCAAAATTTCTTAAGTTCTCTGCTATAGCATGCCTAATCATATCATGGTATTGGCACATGAAACCCCAAATATTATGACATATAAACACCTACTGGCTGGAATGTGTGGGAAGGGCTGGCATAACTGATGATGAAAAATAGTGCTGAAGGAACAGGGACACAAGAAGAGGACACACAACGCAGGTGCTGTTTCTTCTTGTGTCCCCATTCATGCTGCGATATTTTTTGTCGTCAGTACGTATAAACAAGCCCTAATTTCAAATCCTGGCATAACTGCCTTTGCAATTCCACTATAGTCGCTGCATATTGTAGGTAAATCTGTCTACAAAGCAATAAAGCAGTGACCAGGAAGCTTTAGCTGAAAAAGTATACTAACAGCTAAAATAATCACATCCAACCAATACAAATCATCATCAAAACAAAGCTTCAACATACTACAGAAGAAACAGGTGAATGCATGAATTAGCTATGCTTGCCTTTGCATGATGTTTGATTTTATAAACATTCTAGACAGATCATCTCTAAAAAAAAAGATGTCCTCATTTCTGGTCTCTGCCTATTCTAGCTTTCCTGTAGCAAAGAATGTGCCTTGTGAAACAGAAAATATGTAGTGTTGCACTTATCATGCAATAGTATTAAGGAGATCGTTTCGCAGAAATTCTGGTGTTAGTGGTATTGATGTTTGGCATCATTAGTTGGCAAAAAATTAGCATTGCCTGTGAGCGAAAATTGTATGCAAATAATAATAAAAAAACATGAGTTCGAGCCAGAATCAAACCCAGGCATTTTGCATGGCAGGCAGGTGTTCTACTACAGAGCCAACCCAGTGCTTGCAACTGTTTCTGAAAACACCTATATAAGTGTTATGTAGTGAAAGCAGTCACATTTTTTCTTCTAGTACTACTATCACATTACAGAAGCGTTGGATGGCAAGAGAGTGAATCGTTTAAAAGCCCACTCACTATAAACTTGTGCATAATTATTGATCAGCAATCACATTAACAAGGTGTGTAGCGATATAGTAGGTGCATGTATTGCCTTACAGATGTATAGTGGGTACTTCAACAATTTACAAAAGGCTGAATTATGGTGTACTGAACACTTCACAATAGTACCTGCAGTAGGCGTTCCCACGTGGGATTGTTAAAGAGTCCACTAAGGAGCGAAGCCTGGCTTGTGAATAAGGTGGAGCAAACAAGGCCTCCTTGAAGCATTGCGTTTTACTCTTCAAGGCGGTGATAAATCATCAGGCAAGTTTTTTTTTGTTCCATTTCATAAATATTTCACACGTAACTTAGCAAGATTCTTTATTTCTGCAAAGGACCGACTTAAGACTTTCTACGTCGTGCTTGAAAGGACACTAAAGAAAAAATCATTCGTCTTAAATTGAAAATTTTACTCTGGCAACTTTCTCATTAATTTCACCATAACAGCTTCAGTAATGGAGAAGTCAGTCTCAATTTAAAATTTTGTGCTGAACTCTTGTGTGTACCGTCGCAAATTTCAAAGTGCACTGTGTATATTTTGGCGACATAGGCGCAATGAAATTTCCAGAAATCTGGTATGCTAATTTGGACATTAATATCACCGTAAGTTGCTCAAGACGGCACAACAGAAAGGAAAGGACGATCACAGCTACACAGACGTTTTGCTGTTGTGCTGCTTCATTGCTCTACTGATTGATTAATAATGTACAAACACCAACTTGCCCAACATTCAACTCTTGTTGGTATGTTGAGTCTCTGAACACCTTTGAGGACAATCTACTTATTTTCTACCGATTTGGAAAGCCAGCCCCATACCAAGTTTATAGAGGAGGTCGTGCCCCATACATTGACATATTATGGAGGGGGGCGCTGCGAAAAACCATCACCTTCCCTCACCCCGCCCACCCTTAAGAAGAAACCTGCGCACGCTTATGTATTTGATGGTTAATGTATACTATGCTATAGTGCGTAGTTAGTCACATTCCCCTGACGAGGTTTTACTGTAACGAGCATAGTGTACGTATGTGTGTGTGCACACTGCTATGAACTTCATGCTGCAGCTAGCTTAGTGCAGTATCCTTCACTATGGACAAAATTTATGTAGTGCCGACCAAGGTGAAAGATATATTTATCTAAAAGATCCTTCACTATCCTATGTCCCCGCCTCTCTATATAATCCTACTTTGTTTATTTTTGTGCTTGCTGCTTCTGTATAAATGATTATGCAAACTGAGAGAACAATAAACTAAATAAAAGCTAAGTTTTCTTCCGCTGTATGCATCATGGATATAGTCCGTGTGTGCTCCAAACACAGAAGTAGCTGCTCCAAAAGCAGATTTTGCTTGCTCCTAAATGCTGGAAAGCATTCCCACTGCTGCATTTTTGAAAAAAACAAGCTACAAAAATGTGGGCAAGAAAAAGAGATGTAGTTTACAAATTTTTTTAGCAAATGGTTCTACGAGTACAAAAAAAAACACATTGCAACAAAAATTTAATTCGTTTTCTATCACCAGACCACTTTGTATAGAATTAGGCATATGGTTCTCGAAATATCTGCAACATATCACTGAAAGCATGTGCGAGAATTGTGCATTCTTCATGTCCTATTGCACCAATAACAATAAATAACCACCAAGTGACGTGTAGCAAATTAAAATGAAAAATTACACCTTGTTGCAATGCCCACCACTTCTTGCATGCTAAATAAGAGCACAGAGCCCATGACTTTGGCACAGTAGAATGATGGTGCAGTTGCTTACTGGAAACGCTTCAAAAGAAATTTGGTTTTGGCCACTTTTTCAGTGCCCTAGGTCACTTGGTGGCATATTTGGCAACAATCGTGCATCCTACTTGGCTACATTGCCAGCAGTGCGTATTGTTCTATCTATTCTTATATTTCATGCTCTAAATGCAGCTTTCTTGAAAGAAAGGGTGCGTGGTCTTTTGTTTGAAATTTAGACCATCTTTGCACCAAGCAGCTGTTTCATACATAGCAGACATGACTGCCACTGAACAGAACTACAAGCAACTTTTTTTTTAAGCATCTATCAAGGTGAAAAGCCACTTAAATTTTCATTCAATAACAATACTTGGGATTTAATATCCAAAAACGACCATACGATTATGGGAGACTCCTTAATGGAGGGCTCCAGAAATTTCAACGACATGGATTTCTTTAACATGCACCAAATCTAATCTAAGTACACAGGTCTCGCGCATTTCCGTCTCCATCAAAAATGCAGCTGTCACAACTGGGATTTGATCCAGTGACCTGCAGGTCAGCAGTCGAGCACCATAACCTTCTAGGCCATCGTGGTGGGTCTGGATTTCCACTCACTGCCATGCCATGTGATGTGTGCGCCTTGACAAAGTAGAGATAGGGAAAAGGATCACTTGTTGCTGTACTGGCACACTAGAGGTGGCTTGAGAGAACGCACCATACCTATGCTATGCCGCTGCCAGAAGCATATTCTTTGTCTACATAAGCTCTAGCTTATGTAGCCAGTTTAAAAACTGGCTAATCTTTCTCTCTTTCTGCTTGTTTTAGTGTATAATAAAAGAGAATATTAAAAACAAAAAGTTCACAACAACAAGTTTCAAAGTACAACTCCTCGCTAAGAAGCAGAGGGTCTTAACCACTGTTCTATAAATTAGTGCCTCCTAAATAGCAGGCCTGTGCACTCTGCTTTACAACGCAATGCTTCACGGATTGAAATTTTGATGTCACTGCTTTTATTTTACTGGGCTTGGAGATGTAAATTTAGGTCCAAGTAGCATGATGTTATGAAGCTAAGTGCACAGGCCTTCTAACTAGGAGGTATTGCGTGTAGTCCATATCTTCCAATCCCACCCCCCACTGTTGCTAGATGCGTGGCGGTTGCCCCTGCTTTCTTGGTCTCACGCGTTGTAGGATGTCTGAGGCATGCAGCATTGGCACCACAGCCTACTGCGCTTTGCCAGCTCGGGTGTTCAGACATACCAAAGTGGTGGCAAAATTGTTGAGCGCCACTTCCAATGCAGGAGGTGCTGGGCATGATTCCCACTGCTGACCGGAAACTCCCTTTTTTTTTTAAGAGTAGACGAGTACACCAGCCTGGCAATCAGTTGTTCACGAGTACTCATTCTCAAATGGTGGCCCCATCAAGTTCAATAAATGCCTCTGGGTGCACTGTCACCTACCACAGCTTTGGTGAAATAGCCAAGCCAGTGCTGTGCGAGGCAGAGCATCGCTGCCACCAGTAAAAAAGCACAAGCGCGCTTCCGGCCAGGTGCTCAGCAGAACAAAAATCTTGGTTATTAGGACGAGACCTACCCTTCGAGGAATTGGTTAAACGAAGTCATCAGACCTAAGGATAAGGTCATCCTTCCTCTTTTTTTTCTTACTTATGCATTCACAACTTACAAGTGCTTAGAAGTCCTCACATTTTTAA